CGCGTCGCACGCAATGATATTTCTTGCCGCCGTAACTCGCCGGAAATAGAGGGAAGTGCCTCTGAAAATAACTCGTTTACCCCACGGGGGCCCGACGCGCGGGACCGCGGCAGCCCCCATTTGGGGCCCACCTTGATGGGGGTGTCATGTTGTGGTCATGTAAACGAGACATTGGTGCTCACCGAGGCAATGGGAGCGAGAGAACGAGAGAGAGAGGGAGAGAGGCCGAGGGGGCGGGACGCGCGCTATCTCCGTCACACCCGCTGTGCGTGTCCGCAAGTCGAGCAAGGCGGGCGGCGGCCCTCGCTGCGGCAGCCGCGTTTGTTCATTTCCGGACGACGTCAGTCAGGGACGACCGGAACTCTCCGGAAGTCACGTGGGCCACCCGAGACCGGAGCCCACCGGAGCCCATCACATGCCCAAGGGCTGACGTGGGTCCAGGATGCCGACGCGCCGCCCCACCACCCGCCCACCACCACCGCGGCCGCGCGCCTGGCCAGCGGGCAACCCGCACCCCACACAGCCGAGAGGGTGGCCGCCGCCAGGCCGCCCACCACCCACCAGAGGCACGACGGGCAGACCGCGCAGTCGGACAGGGGGGACCACAAAAAAAAAAAAGACATGAAAAAAACAACGTTTTTAGTACGTCGTGAGCGAGGTGGATGTGATGGGTGCAGTTTGTTTGTTTGGCCTCGACCAGGAAACAACTTTGAATTTGTGGCGTCATATTGGACAATAGATGCCTTACGAGTGAGACACTCTCGCCGTCTTCCCTTCTCTCTCTCTCTCACACACACACAGAAACACACACACACACACACACACACAGCGTGAAAGTGGCCGTTTGGAAAACGAATGGCGGCGGGCGGCGGTCACCCGACACAGACACAACTCATGCCTTCGCCCGTGCGCGGGGCCCAAAAATGGATGAAAGAAACGGTCAAAAAGTTTTGCGAGCTCGGTTTTGTGACTGCCGCGCAGCCGCGCGCAAGAGAGCGCGAGGAGGTATGGTAGTGATGAAACATCGTAAACTGCCCTCTGGGGAGCGGGCGTCGTGCGTGGGCCGTGGGGCGCGGGGCTATGAGGAAGCAGCAGCGCGGCTAGTCCGCGAAGGGGGCGCCGGCGCTCGCGAGAAGGTCCGCGTTGACGACGGAAAGCAGGTCCATCGCGGTCCATCGGAAGTTGGACTACGGGAAGATAGTCAGCCGCAGGGGGAATACGGGTCAGGAGTTCGAATGAGAGAATTTTAAGGTCATGGAAGGATCTAATGCCAAACTGTATATGTAGACCTAACTACAGTTTATACTGTGTCAATCTAAAGTTAAACTGCAGTTAGACTACAGTTAACCTGTACTTAAACTACAGTTTACAAGTGCAGTATCGAGTGCAGATCCTTCCATTTGCATATTACAAAATTAAATTTGGGTCATCCAGAAATCTTAAGATTTACGCAAATTTGCGCGGAAATTTCAAAATAAAACAGAGGCCAATGGAAAAATCTCTCTCGCTAAAATAGGCAAAATAGAAAAGCGAAAGAGAAGCAGAGAACCTGCAACGTGCACCCACCCTGCCCGCGCCCGCTCCACCGGCGCGCACTACACACAGCTTTGCCTCTCGCACCGCCGCGTCGCGCCCCGCCCAGCACAGCACGGCTATCTCGACGTTGAGTGACACTGTTGGGCGGCAGCATCATTAGCCGCTTCCACATGCACGCCGAGCCCTCGGCGGCCGCCCTCGGCCCTGCGTGCTCGCCCTGCCGAAGCGACCCTTCTCCTCGGCGCCGCGCCCTTTTCCGCCGGGGCCACTGCCGGCTTTGGGCCTCTGCCCGGCACAGCGCCCAGGTTCGCCCTCGCAGCCCTTCTCCTCCTCCTCCCCGTCCTTCTCCAAGTTACGAGGGTTTCCTGAGCCGTTCGACTCGGACCCCTGCCCTGCTCGCCTGCCTCACACCCACCCACAC